GTCGGTCACAAAGGCAAGTTCGGGCACGAGTTCCTGGAGTTTGAATTCCGGCCCGACGGCAAGCTTCGTTACGCCAACAACTCAAACTACAAAAACGATACCATGATCCGTAAGGAGGTCTTCCTCACACCCGCCGTCCTTAAAGAATGCCGCCGTATCGTCTCCGAAAGCGAGGTATTCGTCCACCCACCCAAACACACTCTCACTCTCACTTTCTAGCTCGATTCAATTTCTAGGGTTAATTCTCGTTTTTCGGTTTTATACTCTTTTGTGTTCTCATAGCTTCAATACCCTAATTGAACAACCGAATCATGAACAGGGTCAAGTTCGACTCAGATGGTTTGCTTCATGTTGACGAATCTATGAATATCCGTGTTATATTAATGGTTTTAGGAAATACTGTCTCTTTAATTTCAGTTGCAAAAAATAGTCATTTTTCTTTGTGGAATTGGAAGTGTGGAATGTAAAATTTCAGTAGGAAATAATGACTCAATCACTTTACTTTGATTTGAATCTACATGGAATGTGATAATGTGGAATTGAACCTGTTCTGTGAGTTCTTGGCTGTCTGACCTCTCTCTAAGAGAGTGATTTTGAACTGGTTCTGTGTATGCATTGTATGTTCCTGATGTAATTTGCATGCTTGTATAGAATGACTAGTCCCATGGCTGTATTTTTTATAGATTATGAAAGAAGATGACAGCAACTGGCCTGAACCTGACCGCGTGGGGAGGCAGGAGCTTGAAATTGTGCTGGAGAATGAGCACATATGTTTTACCACCTCTAAGATTGGCTCTCTAATGGACGTGCAGACCAGTAAAGATCCAGAAGGCCTTCGCATATTTTATTATCTTGTTCAGGTAAATACTAGGGATTTAGGTTCAGTTTGGATGGAGGGTTTTAGAGCGGAAGAATTTGTAGGGATCTTTAAATTCTTATTAAATCTTAAACGGATGTCAGAATACAGACTAAGCCCCTCAAAGCCGTACCCTTCAAACCCCTCCAAGTCCCTCCATCAAAACAGACCCTCAGAAATTTTGCATGTTACTTAAATAATGATGGTACAACTGCATGTACAGGCAATGCTCACCAATTTTCATATGATGGATGTTTTTAACAGCTTCAATATATTCCTCAATACATTGTAATTATGTTTTGCTGGCTTGTTCTACGTTTTGAAAAGATATGATTTTCCATTCTCTATGCTTTCATGGTTTTTTATTTTATTTTTATACTTTGATGCTTTGTCAAATCAACAATATGTAACATGGTTTTAATACAAACTTTAAAAGATTGATTTTCGCCTAAAGGAGTATAAAAGAATCCCTCATGCAATTTATCAGGTCTGGTGATATATTATTGTATTCCAGGTTATGATAAAATGCATATATTTAACTATCATACGAAACAATCACTAACACATTAAGACCTGGTGTTTGAATATCAATTTTGCATATTGAACATTAATTTTTAAGTTAATGTTACAATAACATTCTTAACATGTTATAAAGATAGTCACCTAGATTTTTTTAGCTTCATCTCAGTCAAATATATACTCCGTATAAAAATAATTCTCAACCGTATTGGTTTTTATAGTGTCATTTTAATATTAGGATGTTTTCACTTTTATTGATTTCACATGACTAGATCATACTAGCAGTCTTGAACAGTCTAGATATAACATACTTAAATTGACCAGACTAAGATTAAAATAAACCTAATAGCAGACCTTACTGGAGCAGTTCAGATCATAATAGGCTTAAACATATCAGATCAGACCAGCTCTCGAAATTCTAGTATAATTGTAAACATCATATATACACATGCTTTAATTCATGTCTATTTAACCTTATGGTATTCTATTTGTTGCAGGATCTGAAGTGCTTTGTGTTCTCTCTAATCTCCCTCCACTTCAAAATCAAACCCATATGATTTGATTCTGTTAATGCTCTGGAAGCTGGACTTTTGTTAAGTTTTTCACTCTCAGTTCAACTGGAGTTGGAAGAAGCTAAAAAAGGGCCTGTAATCTTGCAGTTTGAGTGGAATTGTTCAAGGAACCTAATTTGTTGCTCCGGATTTAATAGCACCTCTAGCCTGTGGTTTTGATTTCTACCAACTTATGTTTAGCCAATCCATTGATTGCTCAATGAATGCTATAGTTTCTTTGTTGGGGGTTTAATTGAAATTGCTTTTAGTGCTTTTGTTTTCAATCAGACGGAATACAATCATCAAATATTTGGTATTGATATTCAAACTGTATGAAGATCTTATAAAGTGCGGATCTATTAACCTCCTATGAAAGATCCTTATTCCTTACGAATTATCATCCCCAAAACTTTACATTTTTTAAATGATGAGATCATGTGTTCGGGATTTATTTAGAAAGGTAGAATTAAAATAAACAGCGCATTTCTTTTCGAGAGTAATAGGGGTGGAGCTGGAACGGTTCTGGTTCGGGCCTGGGACCAGCCGGGCTTTTGTTTGGGAAGTAGGGAATCAGAACCGGCCCGGGTAGCTGGCGGTTCCGGGCCGGTTTCCGGTTCAATTTTTTTTTTTAATTTCTTTTGATTTTCTAAATAACCCCTGACCCCCCAACCCCCCCCTCCAAAACACCCAGCCCAACCCGGTAAAAAGGAAAACAAGAAAATTGAAAAAAACAAAATTGGCCTGAACTGGCCGGGCCGGTTCTCCATTTAGGAGGCCCGAGCCCGCACCGGAATTAGACCGGTTCTGGTTGGCCCGAACCGTCCCCAAGACCGGGTGTCGGGCCGGGCCCAAACGGTACCGGTCCAGGCCGGTTCCGGGCGGCCCGACCCGAGTCCACCCCTAGAGTCTAGAGAATATGAAGAAAACATTAAAAACAAGTCAAATTTGATCATTATTAATGACAAGTCATCAGTCGATCATAAACGTCCACCAAGGTCACTTGAAGAGCTGCAACCATGACCGCTTCCTTTGCCACCTCCTTCATCTCCGCTACCATATCCACCATTTTCACCTTCACCTGATCCGCTACTAGAATCGAACCCGTTACCTGAGCCGGATCCAAAATCAAACCCCCAGCCTTCTCCAACACCGCTTGGAGATCTTCCTGAACCCGAGCCGTAACCCCACCCTCTTCCTGGGCTTGAGCCCCATGCCCAATTATAGTCCCCACTATGCCCGTGGGCTGAGGCAAATCCACCACTCGGCGTAGCCCTTGATGCGCCGGCGGCAGACGATGGCGATTCCGAGAAACTCATCTTTCGTCCGCCGGCGTTGGAAGCCATAAAAAGGCTGGAGATTAAGGCAAATAGAACAAAAGCAAATTGTGAATACGGTCGTTGCATATCTACTTCACTAGATCGCACTCGTAAAACTGCCAAATATTTTGGTTTATTTGTAGTGCTATTTATTGCTAGCTCCATATATCGAGTCATTCGAACTTCTAATGTTTATATATGGCGTTATTTTGAATTTCACCATTTATTATAATTAGAAATAATCACTATATTACTGAAATGGAATCCACATTTGACTGGCTGGTGCACAAACCGTGGCCTTTAAGGCTGTGGAAGAATGGTTTAGTGTATAATTTTCTATTTGTTTACCTTCTCATAGTTTTCCTCCATCCCATTTACAATGAAGTTCTCAGTGCATGACTTGGACTTGCATTTCCAATTGTTTTTCGTATCATATTCTTCCTCCATTTCATTTGATCTTCTCCTGAGTGCGCATTCATTAAGTCATAAGTTAAAACATCTTAGATTCAATTTGGTGATATGTAATTCACGATGTTTTACAAATTTTCTGATTTCATTTAGTCTAGTGTAGTTTATTCAAACTTGATCTCATCTAAACAAGTCAAACGTTTTGTGACTGTGTGTAGTGTGTTCAATTTTTTTGATTCAGATAACGTGCCGTGTAACTATATATACATTTTGTGAGTTGCACAACAAATAAATTTGTTTGATTAGTTTAGATACAATCATCTCCACACAAATAATTATTGTCTATCAACTTAGGTAATGAATAGAGTTAACAAAATGGAATAGAGTCCTATAAAGTTTTGTTACCTATATCCTCATTGGTATCATAATCGCATAGGATGAAATAGGAGTCCTATAGTCTTGGACTCGGGTCCGGGTTGGGCCTAGGCCCGGCCGGGCTTTTGTTTTTTGCTAGAAGACCCGGGACCGGCCCGGGTTACCACCGGGTCCGGGCTGGGTCGGGTCCGGGTCGGACCGGGTCCTTGTTTTTTTTCTTTTCTTATTAACCCCGACCCCCGACCCCCAAAACACCAAGCCCAAGTCAAGAAAAGCCCAAAACAATGAAAAAACCAAAAAAAAAAAAAAATAGAAGGCCCGAACCAGGCCGGGTTACCATTTGTTCAGCCCGAGCCTGCCCCCGCTATTACCTCCAGTCCGGGTCAAAGACCGGTACCCGGGCCCGAAGCACTGGGCCGGGCCGGTTCACGGGTCGGGTGGCCCGAACCGAGTCCAAGACTAGAGTCCTATCCTCTTTTTACTTGCCAAAACATGAACAAGAAAATCATCTCATGGCTCCTGAATGTGTACATAATTGCTCGCCAAAAACACTTTCACAATAAAAAACCATCAACATACTGGTTTATTTGAGAAAATGTCCCTCGAAAAATTGATACATAGTATGTGGGTGTGCACAATCAGTGGCTTTTTCTACATTAACGGCTTTGTTTTTCAAATTGTGACGATTACCTAAAGAGGCAACTATTCTTTTAAGAGTTGTACCTCATTTTGGGATACTCATTTTTACCCCACTTTGTGACTTTGTGTGTTCCAAATGAGGCCAAATTGCCCACCTTAAATCTATTGTCCCATTTGGACTACATTATAGGGGCAAAAATGGGATACCCAAAATGGAGTACATATACCAGTTTTGTTCTTTTAAGGGGTAATTTCAGTTTACACCCGATTTTATTGTTTAAAAATCTTTCTATTACCCGATTTTGCAACCCAACCTTTCTATTACTCCGCATTAGTGTAGATTTCAACCCGTTAAACCGAAAATTGATGTTCAAAAGAGAGCCTTTGAGTTAAATACAGAGGCTATCAATGCTCTTCTTCCTCTTCAGGAGAGCTAAAGCTGCAAGATTTCGTCTTTCTGCCGCCATCCACGTCCTCAAACCACCACCAGCATTCCACCTCTCCACCGCCTCTTCACTCCATCCAAACCCTTCTAAACCCCTGTCCAAACCGGAGCTCAAGGCACTCGTTCTCTCCCACTGCCACCACGGTAAGTTCCACAACCTCCTCCGGGAAGTCATCGCTTCTCCCCACGTCCTTCTCTCTGCTTGCAGCAGCCTCAAATCCAATGGTGAACCACTCGACCTCGAATCCATTTCGGCCCAATTCTTCTCTGTCGAAGAACTCTCATCCCATATCTCGGAAAACCGGCTTGAAGTCGAGTCATGCTGCTGTGAAATTCCCCCTTCTTCCCGGAGAGGTAAACCGCTGGTTCTTCCCAATTTGAAGCTCAAAGTTGTTATGGAAGCGATTAGGATGGTTCTAGAAGTTGTATATGATGATCGCTTCGTTACCTTTTCCTATGGCGGCCGGGTCAATATGGGCCGGCACACTGCAATTCGGTACCTGAAGAACTCCGTAGAAAACCCTAGTTGGTGGTTTACAGTATCGTTCAATCATGAAAAATTCGGGATTAATCATGTTGCTAAGCTGTGTTTAATCATAGAAGAGAAAATCAAAGATGATCCCTTGATTGATTTTCTAAAGAGGCTGTGTAAATGTGAGGCTATTAGTATTCATTTGGGTGGTTGTTATTTAGGCAGAGGGTTTCCTCAAGAATGCAGGTTGACCTCAATCTTAATCAACATTTACTTCAACTCTTTTGACAAGAATATTCAAGAAATGAGGCTTAAAGCAAATACTGAAAATCCAAAAATTGGGATCCTTTCAGACTCTTCTGGTAGTGCATTCTACAAACCCCCGAAGGTACATGCAGTTAGGTATTTGGATGAGATTCTAATGATCACATCTGGAACTAAGCTGATGACTATGGAATTGAAAGGTCAGGTTGTCAAGATTTTAGAGAAGAATTTAGGGTTGAGTGTTAACAAGGCAGGAACGGTTATCCATAGTGCTGTTTCTGAAAAGATTGATTTTTTAGGTATGGAGCTTCAAGCGGTCACACCATCCGTCTTACATCCGCCAATGTCAGAGAAGGCTATGAGGGCAAGGAAAAAGTATTTGAGACAGAAAGAAGTTAGATTGTTGGAACTGAAGAACGCAAGAGAGACTAATAGGAAGAAATTAGGAATGAAGATATTGAATCATTGCTTCAAGAAATTAAAACATTGTAATGATGGGTTTAAATTTGACTTCCATATCGAGAATGAAGTGAGGCAAATTTTCAAAATGTGTTCTGATGATGTTGTGAAACAGTTTTTAGAATCTGTTGATGAGAGGTGGGAATGGTACCGCCAGCTGTCAGCTGGTGATTTTCTTTCATTGGAAAGGATAAGAGAAAAATTACCAGGAGAGCTTATTCATGCTTATGATGATTTCCAAGAACAAGTTGACAAGTTCTTGAATCCAATGCAAGCCAAAAAGAAAATAGAAGATTCAGAAAGAAGACTGGAGGAAGAGGAGGAAAGAAGGTATTCAGAAAGGACAGTTCAAGATTTAACAAAGCGGTGTATAAAAGTCGAAGCGCCAATAGAAACGGTAAGGAAAGCAGTCCAAATGTCTGGGATTACGAATCACATGGGCCGCCCTAGGCCCATTAGCCCACTCGTAGTCCTTGAAGATGCTGATATTATCAAATGGTACGCCGGTGTAGGGAGAAGATGGCTTGACTTCTTTTGCTGTTGTCACAACTTCAAGAATGTCAAAACCGTTGTGACTTACCACCTGAGATTCTCTTGCATTTTAACATTAGCAGAGAAGCATGAATCCACAAAGCGTGAAACCATCAGACATTTCTCTAAAGATCTGAAAGTTTTGAATGTGGATGGGACTGAAGATTTTCACTTTCCTACAGAAAGGGAAGTGAAGATGATGGGAGACAATGCTTTGTCAGACCCAAAGCCGGTGGACGGGGCCCTCACAATGGCTCTCATAAGGTTGGCATCGGATGAGCCCTCATATTTATGTGCTGCTCATTTTTGCGGCAGGAATGATACCACTGTGTACCGGATACGGTTCAATCCGCTAGACCAAAAGTGGGTTCCTGGAATGGGCTCGGCTCATGATAGTTTGAATAGAAAGTGTCTACCGTTATGTCCTGTCCATATAAGCGAAGTGTACATGGGTAGAATGACTCTTCAAGATATTGATTGCTGTGTGGTTTTAGATTTGGACTAATGGAGGTTATGGAGCTCTCGCCAGGGGCCCACTAGGCAGCAGAGTTTGGGCAAGCCTGAATGACGACTAGGCGAGGATGTTTACAACAATGAGTCAAAGTAACTTCCTGTGATTCCTACTGAAAATATGAAAGCTAAGCAACTGACATACCAAATATCTGCTCCCCTTTTTACTCTCCGTTTGTGCATAGAAGTGTTGTTTGTGTACTTCTAGTTAACTTCTTGTTATAAACACTAATACTTCGTAACAGTGAAAGTAAACCATTGTTTTAAGGTAATACTGTATGTTCTTTTACACGTTCAAAGTACTTGCTAGTCATTTGCCACGTTAAAGTTAGTTTTTTTCCTTGCACTATGTTTAAAAGTACGGAGTATAATATATACCAGTGATGGACCCGGGTCGGGCCCGGGCCGGGTCAAGGCCCGGTCGGGCCTCGGGTCCTATAATGGTAGGCCCGGGACCGGCCCGGTCAATGACCGGTTCCGGTTCGGGCCGGGCCACCCGCCCAGGTCACGGGTCGGGCCACCCGCCGGGCCGGGCCGGGCCAGTACATTTTTTTTATTAATTATATATTATACAAATTTCTATTAAAAACAAAGTTCAAGTGCATTTATTTGAAATAAGAACTACATTTGAGAATTGAGAAAAAAATAACAATACGAAATACATTTTGTAATGAATATCAATTGGGATTTCCGCCACCGTTGGTTGTTGTTTTCCCTTTGTCACAGGACTTCATATGTTTTATTGGCATCCCGTATCCGTATGAACGCCCCAAGCAACAGTCTTTCTTGCACCACCTGCAAGTTGCCCACCACAGTCCGGTCTTCGGGTCCTTCCACTTGTCAAAATTGTTTTGCATAAGGGAAGATGTACTTTCCATATTTAAAATGGTATATGTATAAGTAGGAATGTAGGATAATAAGAGAAGATGAAGATGGAGAAGAGTTTGAGAAGAATTGGAGAAGAGGTGTAGAAAAATGTTAGAAAATAGATGTATTTATAGATGTTTTTGAACCTCACTCCCCACACCACCACCCCCGGGACCCCCCTGCCCCCCACCCATAGCCCCAACGGCTATATAGCCGTTTGGGAGGTTTGAATTATTTTTTTTTTAAAGTTATACACATATTGTAAAATAAATTAATTAATTTAATGAATTAAGTAAAACTAAAACTATTTGTACTTAGAAAAGTGGTTTGATTTATAATTTACAAATGTTACAAAATAGGTGTATAAGTATTTAAACAAATTACATATTGTAAATGTATTTTTAATTTAAAAATCGGCTTTATATTTTAGAAAAATAATTTTAAGTCGTTAGATTGTAACCAATTAATTAATTTGAGAAGTGCTACATATGAAAAAGTGAACACATATTTATTTGAAATATGAAGTACAAGTTTACAAATTAATTTGAAGTACAACTACAAATTTACAATTTTGAAATATGAAATACAAGTTTACAATTTTGAAATATGAAGTACAAGTATAAATAAATTTGACAAGTGCTATAAAATACATTTTGTAATAAATTCTAAAATACTAATCAATCGGAATCTCCGGCATAGGTAAAGCCACCATCGGTTGTTGAGTCATCCATAAAATCTTGGGAGGGGGTGATGCTCAATTCTTGAGTTCTACGTGCGGCCTTCAACCAATCGTACTAATTAACTAATTAACTAGTACAATACTAGTTATATTAAGTAATATAATATTTATAGTATATAATATATAAGTATACTACTATAAGATGAGTAATAGACTTATATTTTATACTTTAATATATAAAGTATATATTAAGTAGATGTAGAATGTATGTATTAAGTGGATATAATAATTGTATAAGAATTAAATATTAGAGTATAATGGAGAATTGGAGATTGGAAAATAAGAAAATAAGTATACATAAAATAGATATTATAAAGCATATATAAAAGTAGATATTATAAAATAAGTATATATAAAATAGAAATTATTAAGTAGAGAAGTAGATATTATTATGTATTAAGTATATAGTAATAGTTTATAAAGTATATTTAATACTTTATTATATAAAGTATATATTAAGTAGATGTAGTATGTATGTATGTATTAAGAAATATAAGTAGAGATTAAGTAGATAAGAAATCTATGTAATATAGTATATGTATTTATAAGTAGATAATTAATATATAAATAGATATAATAATTGTATAAATATTAAATAGTAAAATAAAATATAAAGGAGAATAAGAGAATTTGAGAAGATGAATATGGAGAATTGGAGATGAGTAGAGAGTAGGATTTAGGGAGAGTTGGAGAAGAGGTGTGAAAAAATGTTTAAAATTAGGAGTATTTATAGGTTTTTTTTAACCCCCACCCCCCCCACCCCACCCCCCAAACACCCCGGACCCCCCCTGGTACCCCCCCCCAACGGCTATATAGCCGTTTGGGAAGTGGGGGTTGAGCCAAAAGGGTTTTTTCAAATTAAAAAGAATTTTTTTTTTAAAAAAAAAATCTGACCGTTAGGCCCGGGCCCGACCCGGCCGGGCCGGGCCTCCAAAAACATGACCCGAGCCCGGACCCGCTAACCCAACCGGTTCGGTGCCCGAACCGGACCCGGACCCGAGAACCGGGCCGGTTCCGGGCCCGCACAGTGACGGGCCGGGCGGCCCGAACCGGGTCCACCCCTAATATATACTCCCCTCTTTAATCTTTACTAACAACCACAACAACAATTTTTCTGTGTAAAATGTCTAATCGTCCAGTAGGGGATTGTTAGTGCCAACCCTTTGCATCCAGAGAAAAGTGAAATACTTCCACAGTTTCCATCTTCATCTATACATCTCTTGTGTAACAAGTTTGCAAATTATCAAAGAAATAAGACTTGTCATTGCATAATATCACAGGAAGGTTTGTCAATATAAACTTATTAGTCTCTACGTGTAGTTTTGGTAATGGAATGTAATCATATGTACGCACGGAGTGAGGGAGGGTCCTAGGGCCATACCTGTCCAGGCCCACTCCAAACCTGGACTGATTAACCCTTTTCACCCCATTATTCAAGTACACGCAATGCAAATAGTGCAAAATGTTAATCAAGATGGGCTATATAGCCCACCCTAATTTCACATTTTCACCCCATTATTGATTTTATAAGAAAAAATAGTTGCATACTTGCATCCCATTCAAAACTATGTAAACAGTTTTGAATTTAATAAGGTGGTGAGGTGTCAAGTTGATAAAAATGATAAACATTGAGTTGTGTAATACTTCCTGCAAACCCAGATTGAGTCGCAATTTTACTATCACTAGTCATTAAAATTATTTTTTATCCTCTACGGCTCTACCCAACTTTCATATTTTTATCATGTTTGGCTTTGATTTTTTTTACTCCAACGGAACTTTTAGTGCAGTTTGTGAATATTAAATAAATTTAACAATTAACGCCAATTCAAATGTTATTAAGTATAATTAATTTTAGGGAAAATGGAAACTAATAATCCAACCTTTTAGCGGTCTTCTTACAATAATCCAACCTTTTGGTTATTCATGAATAATCCAACCTTTGCACCTCATCTTCATTCATTGGTCCCTGACCGGTTGATGACCTGCTATTTGAAGCTATTTTCTTATCTTTGCAAATCATTATATCATAAATCTCATCTTTCACAAAGATAATATTTTGCAAAGATAAGAAAATAATTTGGAATAGTAGGTCATTAACCAACCAAGGACCAATGAATGAAGATGAGGTGCAAAGGTTGGATTATTCATGAATAATCAAAAGGTGGGATTATTGAAAGCAGACCGCTGAAAGGTTGGATTATTAGTTTCCATTTTCCCTTAATTTTATCGCCAGTCGACATTAAAACACACGTATTACCTCGTCATCTGAAAAAAGCTGCATGATGACCATTACTGGAGAGCGTGCAAAGTTGGGCACATGTATATGATATTATCAATACAAGCACTCAACCAGACAATATTTGATGCACAATACCTCTATTCAGCAAATCTTTTTTTTGTTAACTTAAGCTACTAAGACATTAGTGTGTGTGTGTGTCAAAATGTCAAATTCCATCGCATCTGCTGCCGCATGATGGGATAAAGGAACAGAAATGTGACTCTGCAAGGTCTGCAAGGGGCAAGTGAACATATATATAGCTCATAGTCCCTGTATGGATTCAAGGTTATACTTTTCTGCAGTTGGAGTTTTGCCATCTTGATTGTCCTTGGGTTTCTTCAAGACAACATCAAGAGCTTGAAGATATGTATGAGAGGCATTCATGTTGGATGAGGTTGTAGGATTGCTGATTTTGCTGGCCAGAAAACGACGAATCAGACTCCTTAGGAATGGTGCCATGGTGTCCGGCTCATGCTCTAGGTAGTACATGATCCCTCCCATGCATGCACAGAACAATGCCACCTGCCATAGATGTTGGACAAAAAGGTTCAATCATTCTTCATAAAACTTTTGAAATACCTATCTCAATCCAAAAAGAGCCCTACAATTTATCACGATGAACTAAATATGCATACAAGTTCAACTGAATTCTCTCTCCCCAAAGTATAATACTCCCTCCACCTCTAAATAAACATGCAATTTGACTGGGCACGGATATTAAGAAAAAGAAAACTGTGAGGGTGAAATTTATTTAGAGGGAACAGAAATAATATGAACCAGTGACCCATAATATAATGATTTCCTTAATAGGAAATGTAGTAGAAGATAATTTTAGAGGAGGCAGAAATAATATGAACCAGTGATCCGTAATACTTTCCTTAATAGGAAATCAGGAAATGTAGTAGATGATAATTTTGGATCGAACCAAAGAGCACACTGAAAAGTGAGAATAATGCAGGGAGATAAGGTAATGGCAATGGAGTGAGATTATGCATCTATGGTGATTGGTTACAAGGACCATTGACACTACAGAATATGCAATTCATGAATTCTTCATAACACGGCATATATGTCAACTTCTTCAACATAATCTACACAACTTGAGGTTGACGCTACAAAAAAAACTAACATGTCTTGATGACACAGAATAAGGTTATGCAGTGGAGATTTGTACAACTATCATCGCTACACTAGAGAAGAAGCAATACCTCAGCGTTCTTGAAATCAGGGATCAAACGGCGATTCACGAGAATATACCATAAAGATTCCCCAGCTCGTGGAAGAACATATAAAGCAAGTTCTGAACGTCTTGCTTTCTTCTCTAACAGTACAGACAGGCCAGATGCTGCTCCTGCAACCCAATACACTAACTTGTGGTCCTTGGTTGCAATCTTTCTATGCAAGCATATGACTGCCTTTTTTCAATTGACAAAAGAGAAATAACCATCAGTAGGT